AACTCTAACAATCAAAATGAATCATCAATGTAACAACTTTTTACCTTCAAAAGCTTCCAAAGTTGATAAAGACTCTGGATCTAGAAGCTCAACCTCAACAAATGATTGGTCTCCAAGTACCTTCTTCTTGAATGGACACTAAAATGCCACCAAATCACTTCAAAGCTCATGAACACTCAAAGGGGGTGAACTAGGGTTAGATGGGACGTAATGAACAGCGGGGGCTGATAAGGGTGAGTGTCCAAAGACCATAATGTTGTTTAAATAGGGCTCATGCCCTAAAACTTAGGGTTTAGTCTTTGACTATGTATGCCCTGCGTACACCACGTACACTCAGCTTACGTGGCTAAACCCCATGATCCAAAAGCGTGCATGTACGCTAAGCGTACCAAAACATACGCCCAACGTACGGGGGGGGGGGGGGACAATGTTCACAAAAAATCCAAACTTCAAGGACCAAAGAGGAAAATACCTGGAATCGAATGTTACAAATCCAATGAACAGTGATGGATTGTGATCTGGGCTCAGATTGTATCAAATTATATACAGTGGGCTTTTGAATGAATTATCAATTAAAATCGGATCAAAAACAAAATTGGGGTTCAACCTTTTAAATTTGATCAAAATGATTTTAATACAAGTTTGTGCAAGATCAATGAAATAAATAGATTAGATCACCAAGTTGGGCTTGAAACGAAATAGATCCAATCAAAAATTGTTATAAGCACGAATTTCAAAGAAAGATGTACACGATTTAGAGAATTAGAGAGATTCGCCAAAAGATATCCAATCTTGAATCGATTACACAAGAATGTAGTCAAATCATGAATCGTTCCATGAAATAGTCGTTTGAATCTTCATGGTTTAGCTATGATACCACTTGTTAGGACATGAAGCTTTGATTTGACATTGTGAAATATAAAAGTGCATACTCGACAAGAACGAATTAACGTTTAAGCACAATTGTATAGATAAAATGTGGAGTAGAACAAAACTTATAAGAGCATATGCTTCTTATATACAATACTCTCTCTCAAACCAATTTACTCATCTATACAAAATAAGAGCTCTCTCAACCTACAAAAAATATTAAACTATTATATATAGGGAAGCTCAACCCATAAGTCATAAGTGTAACATCCCAAAATTCAAGACCAAAAATTTCGTTTTAATTAAGTTATTATAAAACCAACAGTATAAGAAAACATCCATAATATCATGTCATGTCAAAACCAATGTGTCAATAATCAAAACATGTTATCATAAACCATATCAGAGTGTAATCCCAAGGATCTCATGTGCGGAAAACATAGTGTGATGCGCTGCGATCAAGCCGACTCCTTTCCTTTGAAAACGAGTACCTGAAACCAAAACTGTAAACCGTAAGCACAAAGCTTAGTGAGTTCCCCCATCATACCACATACCACATAATATCATCGGTATCTTTCAACCGGTATCCGCCATCGGTATATTTCAACCGGTAACCGGGGACTATTTCACCCCCTACCACTGTCATATAATAACAGGATATAATCATACAGTCAGGCATATCTGGGGTACTGACCTACCCTTCGATCCTAACGACCGAGTCAGGGAAGAACTATTCCCTGCTACTACCACTGACACACATAGCATATCACATAAGCATATCTCATAAGCATATCTCATAAGCATATCACATAAGCATATCTCATAAGCATATCTCATAAGCATATCACATAAGCATACCAAGATAATTATCACAAAGACAATTATCTACCAACTACCCCTGTTGGTGGGCCGGCATTGTGGCCTTAGACCCACCCCTACTGGAAGGTAACTCACCTCGCACTGCTGAAGTCCCGAAGACTCAACCCCACACTTCTGAAGTCCCGCAGACTCAACCCTAGCTGTTGGATGACAAATTCCCGATCTGTCAATATTAAACATTACCCAATTAATAATTGGGTTCCACTATATAACCATAAGTACATGCTTTGGGTAATTACTACATTACCCCTAGCTTGGCTTATTCAAGCCCAGAGCCCAATTCATACGCCCAAAGTCGACTAGGACTCAAAGCCCAACATATGGCCTAATTTTCCAAATTCGGCCCAAACCTTTATAAGGTCTTACCAAGGCCCAACCAAAAGTCCAGTCCAACATTTGACATTCTAATGGCCCAATATCATATAATCCTTAAGGCCCAACTATGGCCCATCTATGGCCCAATTTTCCAAATTGGGCCCAACTCCTCATATGGACCTTACCCCAAAGCCCATTAATCATTCTAGCCCATTTGTCTGATCTTGGATGGCCCATTAATAACCCAATCATCAAGGCCCAATAAAAGGTCCAACAATACACCCAAGTGAAATTAGGGTTTTCACATAAAATGATGATTAGGGTTAAGTCTTCTCACTTAACCCATTAAGAACTTAATCCATTAAGGACTTAATCCATTAAGTCCAATATTACTTAGATTAATTTCTTGACAACGATTATTGTTTAATATCTCCAGTTATTAATAAATTCCCATGTGTCCCGATTAATTCCCCAAATTAGGGTTTTAGTGGCATTGTGGTTCTTCCGTCCCAAATGTTAGCCCATTTATCAATTTATTGGGCTTTTAGGTCCATTAGGGCTTTATTGGGCCTATTAGGCCCACTAGAATGTCATTAAGCCCACTAGGGTTTTATTGGGTTAATTAGAGTCCATTAGACTCATTAGGGTTTTCACTAAGCCCATTTGGCTACATTGGGCCCATTAGCCTAACAAGGCCCATTAGGGTTTCAAGCACCCCAAACGAATCACACTTGACGAGGCAAGACACACCGCCACCCGACACGGCGGCCGGTGGCGGCAGCCACCACCCTACGGTGGTGGTTTTGAGATTTCATTTCATTATTCCGACACTATTACAGTTACAAAGTACAATCTCCAATACCACACACTCACACTAATGCTAACACACACACAACCACCTAATGGTGGCCGACGGTGGTGCACGGCGGCAGAGAAGCTACAACCGGCGGCAACCACCATGGTTGGCTGCCATGGTGGTGCACTTGCTCTCCGGCGACACAAACATCCCAAACACACTTAAACACGCACTTGAAACACAATCACACACCCACACAACTCACAGCCACCAGATGGCACATGGCGGCGACGGCAGAAGTACAAAGCGACGGCAGTGGCGGCCAAGGGCCACTTCCGGCGACAACAGCAGCATGAACGACGTCGAACACTTGAGATGGTCGTTCACAGCTTGATATTCTTCTTCGTTCACGGCCCACGCTTGGTCTCGGTGGGGTTTCCCAGCCGCTCACGGCATTACCGCGTCATCAGGCGGCGGAGAGACCATGCTCGTCGACGCGATAGCAGGTGGAGCAGCAGCGCTACAGTGGAGTGACGACATCCACCTGAAACAACAACAGCGACACCCTCGGGCGTGTTCCCTCCGACCGTCAACTGTCATGGCGCTCCAAGGCGGCCTTCGTCTTCAGCAGCGGTGGTTCACGCCTTCAACGGAGTAGAACGACGCCGGTCATCTTGGTTCTTCGTCTTCACCGGTAACAGAAAGGATGGAGGCTTCCGGCTTCAATCGGTGGAGGAATGGCGGCTAGAGAAGAAGGGGTGATAAGGTGGCGGCTGGGAGGGTGTTTAGGGTTAGGGTTTTAGGAGGCCGGTGCATGGTGATGGGTTAAATACCCGTATCCCATACAAACTCTCTACAGATTTGTCACAACCAGTCCCTCCTTACCATATCTTTTCCAAACTAAGCCCAAATTTTACCTTTTCTACCCCAGCTTCGGAAATTCCCTTCAAATTTGATACCTGATTTACCAAACCGCCCCTAGGCCCCCAAAATCTCATCAATAAAGTCCCAATAATTACCATCTAGTCCCTGCCTTCCATAATACTTACAAATTAAGTCCGGATTTACACTTTTAACCCTCAACTTCTAAAATTGTGGCAATTAACTCCTCGAACCCAACACCCTGCATATATAATTATTTATTTTAGGCTACCATTCGTTCATTAATTTATTTATTTAACTAATAAATAAACGGGTATTACAATAAGGCTTAAATTCTCACACATATCATAAAAGGGGGAAGCCTTCAAGTCATCACTACATGGAAAGTTTTGCACCCCAACAAAACCACAAGGACCAAAACTTTAATTACGAAATAAATTATGTTTATTTAAATATTATTTGTAAGTTTATGGATCGATTTGATCCGATCAAGTGAATCTAAATATATTTCTTTTTTCAAAATATGGATACAAATAATTCAAACTAAATTTAAATCAAATTCAACCAAATTACAATTCGGTTGGATCGATTTTTACAATTTATTTTTTAAAAGACAAGACATTTTAAATATATATATATATATATATATATATATATCTATATATATATATATATATATATATATATATATAATATATAATTTAGATATTAGTCAATTTTATAAAAAAAATAAAAATTATTTAGTTGAAAATTATAATTTATAAATAACTATTAAGAAAAATAGATTCGAATTAATAATTATTTGATAAAAATTACATATCAAGTATTAAATCGATAAAGTTTTTAATAATTAAAAAAATAATTTAAGAAAATACAAATAATTAAAATTATATATTAAAAATTAAAAATAAATAATAAATTGTTATTTGATTTACTGTGAGATTCCGAATTTTATAAATCAAAATCAATAAAAAAATCTAAAATAATAATCAATTTGGTTAATAACCTATCCAAAATTCTAAATATTCTAACCTGTGTAATTTCTAGTATACGCTTAGGGGAAAGATACGTGGAGAGTGGTATGCAATTCTGTCAAGTTCTAAGAATCAAAGCTACGAAGTCTAGGCAATCTCGACAGCAGATGTATGGAATTCTAATTGAGGTCATTTGGTTAATTGATTTCACCTGATTACGGTTTCCGCTTCCAGCTCTAATTTCCTCCGTCTTGAAGTTGTTACATAAACATAGAGGAGATGCAATGTCTATCTTCTTTCCCATTACAGCTGGAGTCTTTTATCACCCTAAATCGCTCGAATTCCTATTTCCTTCAAAAAGTTTTAAAGTCCGCAGTCTAAACTGTCAGATTCTGAATGCTTTTTGCCCTCGAATAAAAGACAAAGCAGATTATACAAAGAGAGTGAAGTGCTTAGCTAATGCAACTGAGAAGTCACCGATTCCAGAGAGCCAAACGGATCATACAACAGGCGAGGAGCTCTCGCCTGAGCTGTCGAACAGGTATATACGTGGCTTATGTAAAGCAGGAAATATTGATAAAGCAATGGTTTTTCTTTGTCAGATGGAAGCCCTAGGATTTCGGCTAAGTTATGCATCCTACACTTGTCTGTTAACAGCTCTTGTAAGTGTAGGCAGGACTTTGGAAGTTGAGGCAATTTTCAAAGAAATGGTAAGCTCAGGGTTTCAACCAAGAATAGAAGTGTATAATCTCTTGCTGAAAGTGTTTTTGAGAAAAGGTCTTCTTACACTTGCTGATAAACTTATGGAGTCCATGAACGCTATGGGTGTGTGGAAAAACCGAGAAACATACGAGATTCTCCTTGATTATTATGTTAGTGCTGGACGTTTGAAAGACACGTGGGAAGTTGTAGCCAAAATGAAGAAAGATGGGTTTGAACCGAATTCCTTTGTATACAGTATGATTATTGAACTTTACAGGAACAATGGAATGTGGAAGAAAGCTATAAACCTCATAGCAGAAGTAAGGGAAAATGGAGTCTCGCTTGACAAGAAGATGTTTAATAGTATCATCGACACCTTTGGGAAATCCGGTGAACTAGGAGATGCATTGCAAGTGTTTGATCAAATGCAGCAAGAAGGGATTACACCAGATATCACCACATGGAATTCTTTGATCAGGTGGCATTGCAAACATGGTGATCTCACAAATGCCCTTGTATTGTTCAACGAGATGCAAACACAAGGGCTGTATCCTGATCCAAGTATCTTCATTACCATCATTAGTCGCTTAGGAGAACAGGGGAAGTGGGATATAATAAAGAAAAACTTTGAGCAAATGAAAGATGGAGGTCATGGACAAAGTGGGACCATTTATGCTGTTTTGGTTGATATTTATGGGCAATATGGAAGCTTTGAGGATGCAGAGGAGTGCATAAATACACTAAAACTCGAAGGAGTTCCTCTCTCAGCTAGAATATTCTGTGTGCTTGCAAACGCCTATGCCCAACAGGCAAGTTATTATTCTATTTGTAGATTTTTCGATTGGTTTAATATTCTTGATTTTAAAATTTTATCTTCCTTCTTACACACACAGGGTTTATGTGAGCAAACAGTTAAAGTTCTCCAGTTGATGGAACGTGAAGGAATCGAACCAAACCTTATTATGCTGAATGTTTTGATAAATGCATTTGGTATTGCTGGAAGACATATGGAGGCACTCTCAGTGTATCAACACATAAAAGAAAGCGTAAGCCGTTTTTGTGTATTATTAAAAGTTAAAACTCTGATGATACATCTTAAACTGAAGCTGTTTATGGTAATTGTAATCTAAATTGCTCCTGAAGGGTGCAAGTCCAGATGTGGTTACATACACTACACTTATGAAGGCTTTGCTAAGGGCAAAAGGAGTTCGACAAGGTACAAAAACAGTCATATACTTCATGCATCATCCTCTAGGTTAAGTTTGTTACATGTGGACCGGATGGGCTGTTTCCGATGACAAAGGACAATAATGTCTTTATCTATTTGAGTGGGACCAATTTTTGTGTTGACTAATATTAGTCCAGGTCCCATGTTATGTCCTAGTGTAGTTAAAATTGGATAATAAATGTTAGTTGGGTGAATGGCAGGTAGGTATAATATATAGGGATATGGAGTCTGCTGGATGTTCACCAGATAGGAAAGCCAGAGAGTTGCTTCAAACTGCAATCATGGTTCTTCAACGTAGACATTAGTTGTTTTTAAGTGATTTCTTCAGCCTCTCATCAGGTACTGTATGCAAAATTGGCTTCTTTTGGTTCAGTTTTGGGTGTTTGTTTCACTTGAATTAGGGATATTTTCAGCGATGATGAGGAGGGCATTTACGTCTTTTGTGCAGACAAGAGATGGATTCCATCCACCTTTTTGGATGGAAGGGACGATAAGTATAGGTATTAAGATGGTTGTAACAGCTAACTGGTTCATGGATGTGTGGGAGCATGGGAATACCTTTTAAATTCAAACGACAAGAAAGGATGTTAAGTCTATGCATAAAATTTGATAGCCACTAAGTCGTTTGACTTACACATGTTTCTATACATGCATACATACATACATGATAAATCATACTATATAAGATAATAGGATGAGCAACATCTGTAGAGAGAATCACTCTGATGAGTTAAGTTACTGAGTTGAGCCATAGGTGTAGTGGAACATTTCGTGATGGAACTCTGGTGTTTGTCTTGTTGAAAAAAAAAACATGCAAGATTAAGTCTTCTACATGTAAAGCGTGTGCCCTATCATGATGTGATTCACGAGAACTTCATCATATATACACTTTTATGGGGTTTCATAGATACAATAAAGCATCTATCTTTCTCATGGTAGCAGGCACATATACAGTTAAACCACATTTTCCTCCATCAAGAATACCCTAACCAGTAACAAAAACAAGAATATTGTAGTTAACGAAAAGGTTGTTTCAAACGAAAAAAAAGTTTCTCAAATGTGGGGGGTTTTGGAAAAAAAAAAAGTGAGGGCTTTTTCAAAAAACAAGTGAGCGCCTTTTCGAGAAAAAAAATGTATTACCGAAGGTGACCCGAAAACTCAAAGAAAATGGCAAAGTTTTAGGATTTTTTTCGTAAAAAGTTACAACTTTTGGTTTAAAAATAAAAGTTCTTGGTCTTCTAGTTTTTTGCAGTTAACCCTTTAAATAAATAAACGGAAAATGACTTAAAATGACAACCAATAACACAAAATTTGTTATTTAGGTCATTAAACTTTTAATTGTATTTATTAAGGAAACCAACTTTTTATTTTGGTTTTAAAATACTAGCGATTATGATTTTTATTGATTAAGATGACAACGAACACCGTCATTGTCTTTGCCACATCTAAGTAAAAGCCTTTTGTAATTATTTTTCTCAAACCACAACCGATAACCAGTAACAATATTTTCTTAGTTTGCTAACAAAACAAAAGTTCTAAAACCTTCAACAAAAATAATATTACATTAGCTATTATCATAAACCCAAAAGCAATATTTATAATGTACGAAATTCGATTTTGTTAGTAAAAAATTAGACGAGAATACGCATTTTCACAGATGTCATCTACAAAAATACGCATCTAAATAATTAGTGTATTGAGAAAATCATATTTTTCATATGAGAAATTGTTAGTCACTCAGATTTGCAAAATGTGATTTTCACAATGATAGAGATGCACATTTTCATAGTTATTTATTTTGGAAAAAAACTATAATAAAGTTCTTAGATATTGGTCTTATAATCGATATATTCATTATATCTTTTTTTTATTCAATTAAATCTCAAAACCGGTAATCGTATTCAATTTAACCATTTTACCAGATTAAAAGGTCATTCAACTTTCAAAAATTACATTTTTAGCTCATATTTCAAAATTTATTACAAATTTGGTCCAAAATTTACACTTTTTGCCCAGATTTTAAATTTTATTACAAATTTGGTCCAGTATTTACCATTTGGCCCAAATTTTAGAATTTTGGTATGAATTCATCATAACTTTTGTTTTTTTACAACTTTTTTTCTCAACATTTTTTTTCTCAAATGTTTTTCTTTATAAAATCATATTTATACAAAAAAAAACATATTTTCACATAAAAAATCTTATTTTTTCTATATAAAAACTTTTTTTATACGAAATACTTATTTATAAAAATATGTATTTATTAAGTACATAAATCTATACACATCCGTTTTTAAATATATATATATTATATATATATATATATATATTATATCTATATATCTATATAGATATATATATATATATATACAAACACCTATTTTATTATAAATATATTTGTATGCAAACACACACACACACATACATACATATATATATATATATATATATATATACACACACACACACACACACACACACACACATACATCTATCTCATAGTAAACATATATATTTATTTTGTAAAAATATATTTATATGCACCCAAAGAAGTGTTGGTATACATTTCTTTTGTGTGTGTGTGTGTATATATATATATATATATATATATATATATATATATACATTTTAAACACCTATTTTAAAATAAATGCATTTGTATTGAAATACGTTTATATATAAAGTGTATATAAAAACGTATTATATAAAAATTATTCAAACATGTTTTTATAAAACAAATGTATACAAATACAATTTTATAAAAAAGATATAGATACACCTATTTGTGTGCATATATATATATATATAGACACACACACACACATTTACTATGAAATATGTGTTTGTTTATATTTTTAATAAGTATGTGTTTGTGTGTGTGTGTATATATACGTTTACTATGAAATATGTGTTCGTATACAAGTTTAGTCCCTAACGTTTATTGGTCTCAAGGAAGGTCTTTGTGGTTTCAATTTTTATCGTGGTTGGTCTCTGACCCACATAAAAAGAGTTTTATACTCTTTTCTTTTATTTTATATTTTCCTTAAATGATTTTAATATAAGAAGAGAAAAAAAAGAAAATAATAAATCCTTTTTAACCTAACCCCTCATCCTGTCTCCCCCATCGGAAGGTCCTTGCCCATCTGCCTTTGTTCCTCCAACTGCAGTGGTTGTTCCTCCACCAAATATCACTCCGATAAATCTTCATCAACTCATCCATCTGCTACACATTAGCAGCTACCACCATCATTCTTCATCCACCACAACCCTTAAGCCTCTTCCATTCGATGGAGATCCAAATCCAACGCTTTCCTTAATACGGGAAGAACAAGTCCTGAGATTTATTTTGAAAATAATACAGGAAGAACAAGTCATGAGATTTTAAATGCTGGCAATTTCAAGCAAACCAAGATCAAGATTCTCAGTCGTATTGAGATGGTTAACCCAAAACAAGATATGTCATACCATAGGCATAATTTGGGCATAAGGAAAACAAATTATTTCAAAAAATTGAGAAACCAGAGCCGGAAAAGGAAAAGAAAGTCTGATTTGAAAAGAGATATAATAAAAGCATATCCAAGACGAGTATATTAAATCGGGTTTTAACTTTACATCGTAAGACTTGAAAATTGTATGTGCAAGAAATTTCCTTCTTGAACGAAAAGACTCGATTCTTCTGTTTGAAAAGTTACTAATTCCCTTTTAATTTTGAGAAAGTATGTTTGAATTAATAAAATCATCTTATATAAACCCCTCATTATTAGCTTCAGAGATAACAAGGGCTTTATCCATGGCGTTGAACAAAAGGAGAAAAGAAGGAGACTTACCCATAAGATTAACTAATCGTAAGAAAATAAGAGGCTCCAAAGTCAATCTATATGAAAGAAATACACATGACCAATGGGTGAAAATTCAAATCTCTTGGGAAATCGAACATTCAGCCCGTCCCTTTAGCATATAACGGTTAAATTTTCAAAGTCAAGAAATCTCCAACTCCCTAGATCTCCGAATGAATATCTACGGTGGCAATTGTTATGGGTAGAATTTTCACTTTATAATTTATATCTTAAACTTGTACTAAGATCCCGGGCAAGCCCAATATTTTCGATTTAATCAATATCTTGGACTGCCATTGTGTTTTTTGTAATATCTTGTGCATGAATTTGTTGGGTTGCAAAAGTTCGTATGTTGGGAAGCAAAACCAAAAGTTTCGCATGTAGTCCCTCAAGATTTGACTGTTTAACAAAGGGAAAAAGCAAGGCTTCGAATGTTTGTTCAAGTCTTCGAATATTTTGATCAAAAAGTAAAATTTTCGAATTCAGCCCTTAAACTTTCGAACATTTGGCAATCTCCACAAATAATTGAAGTTTCGAATGTTTGACACTTTTCACCCAAATTCGAAAATTTTTGAAGTTTCGAATGTTTGACACTTTTCACCCAAATTCGAAAATTTTTGAAGTTTCGAATGTTTGACACTTTTCACCCAAATTCGAATATTTTCTGAAATTTCGAATATTTTGGGGATTCTTCGTATGTTTGGTGCAAATGGCAGAATTTTCGAAAATAGTCCCTGAGGCTTCGAATGTTTGGCGGTTCATACACAAATTCGAAAAAGGACTGTTTTTGCTGAAAATGAAGAAAATACATTTCAGGCCCCTGCAGTTTGTGCAAATTGACGCTTTCTACCCAGCTTTGGAAAAGGGGGAGAGTTTTGCATATTTTGCTGTTTTGGGCGCACCGGGTCACTGCAGAATTTTGAAATTGACAATTTCTACCCATTTTTTGAGAAATTTTGTCAAAGGCGATCCGTGAACGAAGCTAAAAATTCAATATTTTTTGGATTTTCCGGATTGAAGCACATAGTTTATGCCACATGTTAAGGGGGAGTTTTGACACGAAAAATTCCGAATAGAGCACGTTCTTTTTCCTTGGGAGTTTTATAATCAATTTTCGATTATAAAAAGGGGGAGAAGTTTTTTATATGGAAATTCGAACTTGAATTTTTCGTATTACGCGGATTTGAAGACCGAAGTGATCTTGATTTTTGAAGCTTACGAGATGATGCAATTGGAAGTTCGAATGATTTATTTTTGAAATGGGTTTGGTATTATTGAAGATTTTTTGGGATGTGTTTTTAGCGCAACTTTTGGGTGATTATTTGGAGTTAATCATTCGTTGCTGCTCAGTTTGTATGGTTCACATCCTAGAGCCCAAATTGAAGAATCATGGAAGAATGAAGATTGAAGTTCGTTTCGACATGTGTCACGCTTGAGGCTCGAACCGCGTAGTTGCTCGACTTTGGAAGATTTGAAGTGGGTCATCCATTCCTAACTTTGAGGGGGAGAATGTTGGGGTGCAAAGTTCTTCATGTATGAATTTGTAATGGTTTGACTCATGTAGACCCACTTGCATGTGGTGCATTAGCCTTTAGATACATGTGTTAGTGAGAGTGAGAGAGAGACATGTAAACACCTCTATAAATAGTGGGTTCATACCAACATGTAGAGGTGTGCTTGAGAGATGTAAAAGTGAGTGTGTGAGTGTGTGTTATTTATGTAGATGTAGATCTATGTCCCTTTTTGTAACACAATACATATTCAATACATCTCTTGAACACCCAAATCACCATGTTCATTGTGCAAACTTTAATTCCGCATGTCAAACCATGTTCTTTGTCACTACAGAATTTATAGCTCGACTAAAAAGGAACACACCAAGTCAAAACACAAATGGTCAATGCCTCATA